AAAGAAAGAAAGAAAGAAAGAGAAAAAGAAAAAGAAATATATGGTCTCAAGCTACTTTCCTCATTATCCAAATGAGGACTTTGAAGCCTAGTCAGGGAAGTAGAGAGAGGCTGAGGGTAAGAACCAGCCATCTATAGCTTTCACATCCAAAGGAGAAGAGACACCTTCCTCCAAGGGTCACAAGAGGAGGGTCCCTACAGGTGTCCCCCAGGTAATGAGGAGGCTTAGATTTCCAGGTGCATTCTAAGCCTGAAATTGAGGGATTCCATATCCAGGTCAGCCACTATTTGGAATCACTGAGTGTGATTCCAAATATGATCACTTTTCAGAATATGGGACCTGGAGGAACGGACAGGGCGGGTTCCCTGGCTCATGCAAACCCTGGTGATTTTCTGTCCCCAGATACTCTGACCTGTAACCGGGGGGTCATGCTGCAGATGGGGAGAAAGTTGGCTCAAGACCCCGTTGAATGGACCTCATCCACGAACCAGATGTGTAATCCTGAGGAGGTGTGTCAGGAGACACTGATGCTCATAGACGTAGGTGCGTGGGCTGAGCAAGACAGGGCCAGGTCCCTGCACTATGGCCAGTGCCTGCCCACCTTGCACTCCGTCCCCTGAATGTCCTGCCCACTTCCGCTCACATCTAGAGATCTCAGTCCAGCACTCTGCTCTTGGTTTCCCCTGATGAAAACTGGGGGCCAAGTAATAATGATAAGTATAGTGCCTACCTTGCTGGGTAGCCATGAGGATCCGGTGGCCTCCATGCAGAGGACCGAGCACAGCGCTGGCACAGAGGCACCTCAATGACTCCATTCATTGGAAAAATTTTATATTGAGCACCTGCGTTAGGTACTGCAGAGCCATTGATCGCAACTGCCTTGATTGCAGTTTTATACCCTAGTGGGGAAATGAAAAGAAAAACAGACAAAAAAAGAGCAAATTATGGGTCTGAAGACAAGAGCCCTGGAGAGAAACCGAGCAGGAAGAAAGGAGATACGGAAAGTGAGGCGAAGGTTGCAATTACAGGTGCTCAGGGCAGGCTTTATGGAGAAGGTGACATTTGAACAACACCTGGGAGGTGGCAGAACATGAGGGAGAACCCAGTTTCTGGCCCCAGTCTTTGCTGGACACTAGGATGACCTGTACTAGAATAACCCAGGATTGTGTTCACCCTCTGTCTGGGGAGCACCGTGAAGCCAGAGTTGCTGCCCGTCCTCTCCCCAGCCCAGCTCTCACTCTCTTACCTCCTCAGGACACAGATCTCTCCTAATGGGGAGCAAAGGCTGCAGCAAGGCTGGGGCACAGAACTCTCAGGCCGTCTCCTTACACTCCCGGCCACCTGGAGTGCTGGTTGCCTCCTATGTCCGGGTCTGCTCCTCTGACCTGTGCAACAATGCCGGCAGCAGCAGTGTCCTGCTGACCTCCCTTCCTAAGCCAGGTATGGCATCCTTGAGTGACCCAGATACTCCAGGCTCCAGCAGGTGGCTGCAGGTGGGAGCAGAGCTGTGCCCACGCAAACTTGTCTCTGCTCCCCAGCTGCTCCTGCCCCAGGAGGCCTGCAGTGTCCTGCCTGTGTCCAGTTTCTTGGATCCTGCTCACAAAGCTCCGACTTAGTTACCTGCCCTAGTGGTGTCACTCATTGTTATGATGGTAACATTGCTGTCAACGGAGGTGAGTACTGAATGCTGAGTTCCAAAGATAAAGGGAATGAAGACTCGGACTCCTGAGTCTGAGGGAGGAGGGCTGGGGCCTGGACTCCTGGGACTTTACATGTGGTGCATTGTGTATCTCCTGACTGGGTCTTTACCCTCCAGGTGGGTTGACCGCCACACTGAGCATTCAAGGTTGCATGGCCCCAGCTTCCAAATACTTGCTGAACCACACACAGAATGTTGGGATCTTCTCTGTACGTGAGAACTTTGAAGATGAAAACAAGGAGCAAACCCGTACATCCCCAAGTGGAGTAGCCCGGGCCACACACCTGCTCTGGGTGATGGGGATGGGGCTATTCCTAGCCCTTTGGAATGGGGGACTTTACCCTCTCTGCTAAATCCATCTCCCCATGATTCTTAACCTTTCCTGACACCCAAACCCAACAATTGACCTCACAATCTAATGGCCTTGGTCACTGAATTATTTTCCCATCCTCACTCTGTCACCCGGTAATATCATGGTGGGTGGGGCAGGGAGCAGCTGAACTTACCCTGTAGGAGAGGGGACATGCAAGTACTTGGCCACATGCATCTTATAATAAAGACACCCTGTCCTTTCTCCTAATACTGGTATTTCTGTATGTAAGGGGAGGGAAGGATTTGGGACAGGGAAGGATATGGGGGAGGAATCACCATCCAAGCACAAACTTCTTTGTTCTGGTTCACATCTTCATTCCAACTTGGGTGTTAGCAGAGCCTTCAGGATATCGCAGACCCAAGTATTAGGGCATCAACATGGCTTAAGGGGGGAAGGAGCACTCAAGCCATTGACACTTCTTCCTTGTCAGCCGTGGTCCCAGTGCTCACCCATTGGAGAAGTTGGTAATGGGATCGTTGACATTAGAGGTTGAGAGGAGTTGACATCAAAAGGGTTTCAGTTCCCCGGGGTTGTTACCATTGGGTCTTTGTTACCATCCTAGGCCTGAAAGGGTGAATAGGAGCCATGGCTGGAAAGAAAGAGGTACAGGGGAGGGTGGGCTCTCTAGCCCAGTGTTACTATAGGGATGGAACTGGGGAATTAATATTTGAACCTCACCTAGTGTCCTCCCTCTGGTCTCTAGTTGGGGTTCCCCATTGGTTGAACTCAGCTGGAAGCCATAAGGCAGGAGATCCCATTGCTGCATAGATCTGCCACTCACAGTATAGAGTAGGAGAAAGAAGGGGAGGAAACAACGTGTCCATCACAGTCCACAACCTTCTCCCTCAACATCCACCCTTTTCCCTTCTCCAGATGAAAGTTGGAGTCCTCCATACGAGAAGACACACAATTCCCAGGAGTCGTTGTAACACTGTATGATAATGATAGTGAAGCCATCTTTCTACTGTTAGACCACCCGCGCACTTCATACACCATGGTGAGAGCGCGATGGGGAAGGAGATCACATAAAATAGCTGTTAAGGTCCTGAGTGTGTAGCTGGTGGCAATAAGAGCTTCCCTCTTCCACCACTCACTCCACATTCCCTTACCTCCTACCAACACCTTGTTTGGACAGTCTTTATTCATATGGGGAGTGGCGTCTTGAAGGGTTCTGTCTTTACTGAGTTTCTATCCTTTTCCATGGAATCTGACCCTGGCCAAAGAAATACTCCCCCAATGTCTTGCCTGCCTTCCAGACAATCCCCTTGGCCCATCAACTCAACCTCCTTCTGGAAATCAGCACCGACCGGCAGAGCACCCCGATTTGCTAGTTGATTCAGCAGAGGAGGAGCACACGTGGCCTGGAACGCTATTGATTAGAACTAGGTGATTCTTTGACCACATCAGGCCAGGGTCACAGGGACAAGATAGCAAAATTCTTTCAGTAGGTTTTTAGATCCAATAGTGGGAGGGACACTCCCTTATTCCTTCCCTTATGTCTTGGACCTGTGTATTTGGCCATGGAGGAAGAGGGACAGTATGCTGGCCATGAGTTTAACATGTGCAACATTTCCTGTTGGATTTCTGGCTATGATCCCTTACTTGGTGTCTTAATAAGCCATGCATAGGCCATTCCAAGATTCTAATAAGCCAACTGTTGCTGCATAGTGGGGTGACTGGGAAAGAGAGTTCCAGGATGTGACTTTACCTCACCTCCTTTGCCTTAAGATACATCCTCTAGTCAGAAGTAATACTGCACGGGACACCAGAATTCTCTAAGTCCCTAAATGGCAGTGTCTGTAGAAGCACCGAGTAAGATACAGAGAGAGAAAACTGGAACCCACTGTATGTGTCCATTCCTGTGGGATAAAACATAGTCGTCTTAATGATGTTAAGTCCTGTGTGATCAGCCTACCCCCAGAGGCCACAAAGTCCTGCTGTAGAATAATGCTATAACAGGGTCTTGACCTTGGCCTCTGTCTATCCTGGACTGGGGCACCAGGGACTGTCAGCCAGGTCAGCCTTGAGGAGAGTTGGCCCATTTGTCATAACCACGTATGGATTCATCCCTGCCCACATGGTCATTTGCATGCACATGGACCTATTGAGCAAGTGCTGACACCGTCCACTCAACACTAAGTTACTCCCGCTCAGTAAATGGACTTTAGTGGGTGAATGTATGCAGCATGGATATCACATACTCTGCGCACATCCCAGAGGACCATTCACATAGCTCCCTGTCCCCATTTTATATTTCTATTATTTTCAAGTCCTTGACCATGTGGCTCAACCTGGATCTATGCGGGAATGGAGCTAAGGCTTTCTTTCCCTCCACTAAGTGCACCCCTCCCTCAGGGACACCTCTGAATGGGGAGTAGAGGCAGCACCATCAGCATCTGCCTGGTGTTGGCTCACGGTGACTATCCATGCATTATCCTGGTATTCACTTTCCTTACTCTGTGAGGATGTCACAGAGGATTCCCATGAGCCCATAGATGTGGTGGAGGTAGAGGCAGAAGGAGCAGGTGCCATGGAAGTTTGAGCCACGTGCAAGGCATTCACCTGTGCCCTTGGACCTGCTTGAACCTGATCCCATAACACCTTTTCCATGGACGAAGGATGCTTCTGTGCAACCTAATATCAAGATTTAATAGCACAGACAGCACTTGGGACATGGGATATGACATGCAGTTCAAGTCACCAGGCCCTTCGTGTCCTATGGTCAAGCATTCAGATTCCAAAGGGGATAGTTATCTTCAGAAGGAAACATGTCTTTGATCCAGAACTTTGAGGTTCTGCATTGTGATTATCCCATTTTCTCATAATGTCCTAGAAACTTTTAATAACATTGAGTTTGTTGGTCACATGCCCTGAGGTTCAAAGCAGCTGGGTTTCCAGCCTGGACTTTCTGCAAAGTCATCAAAACTGGCAGTCTTAAGTGTCTTCTGACAAACGTGTAAGAGGACTATATCAAAATGTGCTTTATGTCTTCCACCCACTCCCCAAATTGTAAGGGATGTGTGTCTTTTTTCATGGCAGCAGCACCAGGAAGAGCAAATTATCTCCCAGGTTGGAAGCTACATTGGGTCACGTCCCAGATCTATAGGAATTGCACCAGTAGAAGGAAGGAGAGGCTGGATATTTGCAGTTTATCTCCTGCCCTGTGGCTCATTTGTGTATTGTTCACTGTGTCCAATGAAATTAACATGTTATGAATGAAGTAAATTAGTATAAAACATAAAAAAGCAGGGGATCAAGGTCCCTTTGGACTATGAGAGAGAACACAAGAGCTAATAAAATCACAAGGCCACAAAGTTAGGGTGAATGCTTGTACCTGAAATATGAATGGAAATCCTTCAGATTATCTCTGCCAACAAATGCAGAAAAGTCCCACTGGTAGATCTTTAAGGAGCCACAGCCAGACCCGCTGCTGCAGCTACCATTACTACCTTCATGTGCCACAAACTGTCATCACCATCCTGATCCTTTTGCAGTGACCAAATAGGCATGCTAAATGCTTTAATGTTGCCATAAGTCTCAGGCATTCCCCCTGGGATGCATTATTGTTTCTAATTTATTGTTTTGGCAGAGATGATGGTGGCAGTGCCTTTGATTTTTTTCTACCATAGTGGCTCTCGCTGCATGAATCAGGAAGACTCATAGGGGATTTTCCAAGTTACCTATACAATGGTACATTCTGAGACAATCTGAATCACAGAGAATGGGTCGATCTATCCCCTGGCATGGTTCATGGTACATCCATGTTTACAAATAATTCCTTGGACCCTCCCTTTGATCAGTGTCCTACTCTCCCCGTCAAATGGCCCCAGGTCCCTCTGTGTGGGGGATGTTTCACTATTGACACCCTTCGCCTCATTTCAGGGTCCTTCTCAAACAGACTCAGCCTCTTTTCACTCATAGGAGTCTGGAGACTAAGAGGTCATTGTGGTGACTCATGTTAGATTTCTCCACATGAGAGCAAGAAAATTTCCAGCTTATCAAGTATCACCTTTGTTGACAGAAAAAGCCATTTAGCTTCACCTTAGACCGCTGCCTGTGAAGCCACTCTGATGGCCTTTTCACTCTGTGCATCAGGGCACCTTGTCTCTGAATGGTTAGTGTCACTGCTTGGCCACTCCAAGATCTCTTCCCCGCCCCCCACTGAGATCAGTGAACCCAACCCCATTACATCATTTCCCATAAGCATCTTCTGCCTCAGAGGTGAGTCACCATTTGTGGAGTCTCTGCCTCATGGCTGTATTTCCTGTGCAAAGATGCAGGTCAAGATTGCCCAGTTGCTATAGTGACGCCTGGCCTGAGAAGGCTGTGTGCAAAGGCACGGAGCTATCTCAGTCTGGACCTTGAACTCAGGCACCAGCTGCTGGAGATAGAGAATTCTGGGCATGATAAGATAACCACAATGTCTCACAAGTGCCATGACCTGCAAGTCCATCTGCTTTGCAGAAACTTTCCCACAAATAACATGTTGATGATAAAACCTACCTACGAAACGGGTGGTAATAGCTCTGGGTCACTGTTCCTCCATCAGAGGATGGTGTCCCACAAGGTCCCAGATTTCTCCCTGTAAGTGTTTTTCTTTCTTAATCCCCCATCTCCCCTTGCTGGTTTCCAAGGTTGGGGCCATGCCTGTCACGCCAGCCACAGAGCTCTTGAGATCCCCTTCTCCATGTATTTCTTAATCCCCCGCTAGAGGCTGTGGTGAGTTGCAGATGCAGGAATCTGTAGGCAGTCAGCTGTTCCATTCATTCCATCTTTTCAAGCTTGGAACTCTCTCTCTCTCCAGAATGCAAGAGAAGTCCCAGCATTGACTCCAGATATTAATTTACTACCCTAGCAGATTAGGAATGACATTCCCAAGTGCTTGAGCCAACACCTCAAATCCCAAATCCCATGTGAAAGAATTTGGCTCTGTCAAGTCTCCTTCTTCATTAGATTTGTTCTTACACTCATAGAATCCATATCTGCCAGGGTCCAGGTGGAAATCAGGCACCACACACTAATCTTAATATGTAAAACTTATAAAGAATCATTAATTAGTAGAGGGGATTGGCTACTAAAGAGTAAAGAGAATTCTAAAGAAAAGAGGCACATTTTTCAAGAATCAGATAGCTGTGTGGTTTTTGTCCTCTGTACCTTCTCTTCTATTCCATTGGTCTATATGTGTCTGTTTTTATGCCAGTACCATG